TTTTTTATATATTTATGGTTAAAAAATACTATTAATATGCACTCTAAAAAAAATCTAAAGATAAAGATTAAAAAAACCCATAAATTAAATGGACAACACACAGTTAATTCTCATCACCACCAATAGCAGCACTGCAACATGAATTGTTTGTCGTCTTCCTTCGCTACATTAATTCTACCATATAAACACACTTCTATCTTTTCGACACATGGATGATCAATTAAACAATAAGTGGGCTAAGTATGGATTCCCTTTGATTGTTGTCCCATTACAATGGATATGGACACTTTATTAATGGAAGATATAGTTACAATATCATATAGAATTATCAATTTATAAATTTAATATGATATTAAATGATTAAATACATTCAATATATATTATAAGTGGGTCTTTATATGAAAAGAATCAACTATATAACAAATACGTCAAGATTATAAACTTATAATACTACATAACATTGCAATATATGATTTAATTTTGTTAACCTAAACAATCATCTTCCCCCGGCCGGTCCTTTCCCCCTTATATATATATTCCCTCCTCTTCTTATCTTCAATGCCTCACACAGCAACTCTATATATCAAAGTTTTTAATTAGGGTTCATTTATCATCTTCAGTGTCCTTCCATTCATTCACTCTACTTGTATAGATAGTTGCATAATAATTTAATTTATTGAAAGGTGGGTTTTGTTTGCTTTATCGATCCATGCCAGGAGCAGGGGGTATTTTGTTGGTATAGGGTTTTCTGTCCAGAGATTTGTGTAAATCAGCAGTCAGTATTTGTGGATGCGGCATCATCAAGATTCACAAAAACTTTCGGGTAAGAGGGGCTTAAATTCGATATATAGGTTCCTAAAATTCCGAATGAGAATCTTGATGATGCTGCATCAGCAAATACATGACTATTATTCAGAATTATATATGGCAGCTGCTAGCTAGTTGTGTGGCTCGATTCGAAACATGATTTGAAGGTAATTATAGTTACCTCAACTTGATTAATTCCTCCTTTACTACCAAATAGTTTTTGATTAAAGAGAGCTGCATCGATTGAGATTTTAAAGATTTCTGTATTAATTCATTAATTAATCAGCTAGGGTTTTGATGCCTACTACCTGAATATTGATAAGGAGATGTTAATTCCGTTGAAGGGAGATTGGAGTCCTTTGTGCACCAGGTATGGCTTAATTACTAGTAATTATCTATCTAATTAACTCCAAAAATGTTACTTTGATATACATCTTGAATTTGATTAACTTCCGTGGTAACTTTTCTCTTCTCTTCATGATTTCCTAAGAAATTAAACACTTTCTGATTTGTTCGGCCAAAAGAAAATAAAAAAATAAAATGAAAAATAAAAACCTCTGTCTATCATGTTATCATTGCATCTATGTAAATTGATGTCCAAATAAAAACTTTATTTCATATATATATATATATATATATACACACACATTTGTATATACTCTTGCTAATATATGTTTGTAAATTGATGTCCAAATAAAAACTTTATTTCATATATATATATATACACACACATTTGTATATACTCTTGCTAATATATGTTTATATAGAATAGTACGCTCTAGCTAATTGATGAGCCTCCCTTCT